TATATATATATATTATATTGATCTCTAATTATACTTCAGCAGTTAAGGTTATTAATTTTCTTTTCCATAATAGTATGTAGAATTTATTAGAGGCATAGGTTATATAACTTTTATAAACTATTCTGATAACGTAAAATTTGATTAATATATAAAAATATWATATATTTTGTCATTCTAGTAATTTATTATCAGACTTTTACTTTGTAATCAATAACACTCAACTGTGCAATATGCATTCATAGGAAATTAACATGGCAGGACATTGAACTTTTTATTTTTAATTAAATATTATAAGTGGATTAAAAAATAATAATGTATTTTAAAGTTTTCCGGGGATAAGATTTTAAATCAAAAATCAATCATTTTCGGTAGGTACCGCCTTTTTGCGGTAGGGCTGCTATTCGTTGTTATTAAATACACTCGTACAATTACCGTGGTGACACGTGATTTATTAATCACGAAAATGTGCGTTGACCTATTTCACATAACAACTGAAATAAAAAATGTTCCAAAAAAAACTGATCAAAACGAATAGTCTAGTCCAACCTTATACGATTAATGAATTGATAATAATAGACCGCAAAACAAGAAAGTGACACGTTATTATGTGTATATATTATTTACGACATCAAATTTAAATTAATACGTTATTAACGATTTTGAATTAGTTGCGAGCGTTCCGATAATCCTAAAATTATAATACGGTTAGGTAATTATTAGTTATTAAATATGACGGCTCAATATTTTTGTCATATTTAAATTTATCGGTCGTACGTCGTCCAGTCGCCGCGACTATCATAAACGTTTCCGCTCTGAAACGGAACAAAACGGATCGTGGGCTCTTATCACAAGCACGGCGTACAAATAATATTGATTTACAAACATTTAACATTCACACACATATATTATACTATTTGTATTATGTTCCGGGGGACAATGGAAACGAGCCCGTTTATTCCGAGATAAAACATAACGTTTTAGTCGCTCGCAATCCGTACCGAAATATTGTCATCGGAACTCCTATATAGGATAMTATATTATAACATTATTTTATTATTACAGTGACACGATGTGGTCGAATACYGTCACTTTTACTGTTTATCTGTGGCTGCTGGTTGYCGTAGATTTCCAATTTGCGTATGCCGCCCAAGATGCCACGTGAGTATAATAATATTGTGTATTTTGATGTATTTTTAAATATATATTTTTCCAATCGTCAAAATTGCGGCGGTGGAGAGGCCAAATAAAATTATAAAATAGGTATGAACACTATGAACCACACCAGCTATGAAATAGCTAGGTWTTTATTAACCGCTCAACAACTGATCAAATATTAATAACATCAATCACGCTATTTCCTATGTTTGGTATTCTATTTCATCGTAAATCTTATAGTAATAAAAATCCCATTGATCGTATACCTAGTTACAAHATTTAACGATTTGAAAAATTTTGATTTGTTTAGCATGTGATAATTGTATCCTTACAGTAATCCATGCTTTTCAGTCATTTGATGTTRGTACAATGACACAATGTACATCACTAATATTATATTTTGTAGGTAATTTTACTTTGTAAGTTTTAATTTTATTATTTTGTTATTTGATCTGCATTATAATACTAATGTTCTGTCAGCTACTTTGTAAATTTTTATTATGTTTTATAATACTTAGAATAGCGAGCGCACTAATCTTAGATAAATTTATACTGAACTTGTAAATATATATATACTAACCTGAATTTGAGCCCATTATGAGAGTTYGCCCAAATAAATAGATGAAGACATAATAATAAATACACATTTTATTTTTTAAGTACCTATAACGTATCCCTGAAATCGTATAGTCGTTTCTAAATAAAATAATTTTTGTGTATCACATAACACTTGGCCTCTTTGTCGTCGATAATATTCTAAGTGAAACGTAAACAATATATGTCTGTACATAAATATATAATAATATGTATAGGCACGAAGACATCAGAACGGCAATATATTCATTTGCGCACTCATTGCGCGATAACGTTGATAAATTGGAGCGACACGAACGGCGCGAAAAGCAATCGGGTGATCAAATGCAAAATATGCTGTTGACGATCGTGAACAAGCAGAGGGAACAGTACGTAGAAGACAAGGAACTCGAGACGGCCATAAAAGGATTGGAAGAGAGTATGAACGCATTGACGAGAGCAGAAACAGAGGAGGTGAGAAACTTACCTAACGAAAAGACTTATACGCATTACACGATATTAGATGACAATATTATCTTCTTTCGATGCCGTCGAGGATGCACATCGATAACATTCTGATATATATTTTTAACGCCGTTTTAAAATGCCGTTGAACTTAGAATATTATAATATGTCTTAGTATTGAAATCAATTCGTCACATTTGTCATTTTTCAGGCTGCCGATAGAGAAAGCATGAAACTTATGTTGGAGAAATTGGACAAGCTCATCGTTTCCGGTGAAGCCGAGGTCGAGTCTATGTTGAAAGCGGAACAAAAGTCCTCGAATCAACTGTACCAGTCGTTCGACAACAAGCTGACCACTATGTCGCAACAAATCAGTGCGTTACAGTCCCGATTTGATTCTCTGCAGGAGCAGGCCCCCAAGTCCACTGTGACGAACGACGTTATCTTTGAATTGCTTAATAAATTTATCGACCAGAGCACCCATAACAGAGACACGGTATCAGAACCCGCGAACGCYACGTCACAGCTGGTACAAGAGACCAGACACGTGGTCATGGAGGCGGTCAAGTCGTTGTCGGACCGAATGGACGACGTCGAACGGAAGCGCGCAGCGTCGGACGCCAAGCTGGTTGAAGTGGCCGAATCAGCCACCGCGTTCCAAGACGACGTGCAGAACAGCTTCCGGTTGATGTCGAACGAGGTGAAGACACTGTCGGACGTGGAAAAAGTTCTGGTGCAGACGGCAGACAACGTGCTGGACACGAAGCGGAGGATCGAGTACGGCACGCACCAGATACTGATGGAAGTGACCGCGGTGATCAACGACCGGTCGAAGGAGCTGAACGACTCGGTGACCGCCGGGCTGGAACGGGCGGTGAAGACAGTGTTAGACGCGCAGTCCGTGGGCATGGCCAACCTGAGCGTGAAGATCGAAACGGAAATCAGCCAGGTGTGGAGGCAGATCGGAATCATGTACCAGACGCTCACCGACTCGGCATCCACGCTGGCCACGCTCCAGCAGCAAACGGACATGTTTGTCAACAGCACGGCCACGTCGGTGGAAGGCATGAACGGAAAGGTGTCGGCGATCGCTGGCCGCATGACCGAGGTGGACGAGAACCTCAACTACCTGCTTGGACGGCTGTCGCTGGTCACTCAGGAGTTCAAGGAGATCAAAGTCGGGCTGGGCGAAGCGCTGGAGAGCATCAGGGTCGGGCTGCAGGCGGTGCAAGGCAACAAAGCGACAGTGGACTTGGGCCCCGGTCCGAACCCCATCGACGAAGAACCGTTGTCGGAAAACATCAACCAAAACATACTGTCGAAAACCGTTTACACGGTGACTTAAATAGATCGAAATTATTTTTACTATTATTTTTTCAACATTATAATTATTTCATTTTCATTTTTCTTATTCAATACTACCATCGGTACGTTAAGGATTATTAGGTAGGTACTCTGAATTTATCGATTGCAATGATTAGAAATAAAAGAAAACCTTTAAAATGTTGCGACATTCATTTATAACAAAAACGTATTCATATATAATAATTATATTAACTTCATTTTGCTTGGTCTGCAATAAATGAATAAAAATTATAGGTAATTATTAAGTTTGTTTAAGATTATCATAAATTGTAATGATTTTTTATTTAAGCTACAACGTAGGATACGGTGACGAWCAGATAAATATAAGTATTAATAGTACACCGAATAATGAAGAAAAATCRACTAAAAGTTACACTAGGCCCTACCTATAATAATATGTAATAATGATATAACTTTTATGAAGGAACCATTTTTACTTATTATAAAAGTTAGGTAGTTTAATAATTTTATTGTACAAATTAAGAATTTAATTTTCAAGCTTCGACATTTTTATACATGTGTATTGCAAAAAAATACAATTTWAAATGTAACAAAGTTAATAGCTATAATTTATTTAATTACCTACTATGATGATTATGTTTAATATATAAAAGTAATATTGTATTTGATCCTCTTAGCTTCCTGCATGTTTAAATTGTCACAATAATTTTAAATGTTCTTCGAGTTTGAATCGATAAATATTTTTACGATTTACTGTAACGTCTTTAAAAATAAGTACATTACAATGTAGTAAACACTATATCATAAGAGCGAGTCCAGTGTATTTGCTTAGTGTTTATACTGTGTCATACCTAACTCACAACACAAATCTAACTAGAAACAATTACCTTCCCGTCGAAATAAATAAACCTGTAAATCTTAAATAAATTCATYATATAAATATTCAGTGCATAAATTTAAACAYAAACGTGTATTAAAGTTTTTTTCACAAATTTGAATCAGAAATCAATGAGTTTGGAAAAAAATAATTACCTGAATCTCTTCTACTAGTTTGAATGGTACGGACAGAATAAATTGTTATGATTCTACTTTTACTTAAAAATATATTATTGCATAYAAATAATATTTTTATATCAACAGGTATATGAATATTTTAATTTTGTGATTAAAGGTATACTACGATTACGCCATCACCATATTAATGTTTTTGTTAAATTTATAATTATTTATTGTCAATTAGTGATACTGATATACTGTAGGTACAACSRTACATTATAATTAAAGGTTATAGTATTTATGTTTATTAGTTTTTATATTTATCAGTTATTCCCTAACTATATTATTATCATATAAAAATGAACAACTTTTAAAAAGATAAGACACCAAAAATATGTTTATTATTTTTGATTAAATAATCAAATATTTCATTTGAAGTACCTACTTTTAAATACTTACTTATTTATAAGGTAAATAATCCATCAGATTATATTATCGTCATCAACGATATCATAATAGATGACTGAAATAGTGAAAACATCAACTTGTTATTTAAATGTTTAAAAATGACATAATATACTTAGGTTATTCATTTAGATAATGCACGATAATCATAGATATCGYTACACACTGTATTATTTCAGTGGTGGCTAAACAGTCGATCAATAGCAGTCGGATGGTCATCTTGGACGCTCTCAAGTCGATCCTTCTTTTCGAACTCATTAATATACATTTAGTAGACACAGTTATATGGGTACTTATTATTTCGGATTAACATGTCAGTGGAAATATAATTTTCCATACATTTACGTTACAACAGCTATTAATATTGAGCTTTACATTCTGATGATTATTAAGAGCAGCGTCTTCATTTAGCTGTCATCTACTATTTCCCGAATTATAATCAACTGACAAATGATAATAATATTATACAATGACGCGTTGCTACGTATAATATTTATTTATTATTTAGAAATTTAATGCAAAACACTCGATTGTATATACCTTTACATTTTAATATTTAAGAATATTTTTAATAATTGATAGTTGTAATATTAAAAACTTATAAATAAAAAATAATTCATAGTTATCTCAATAATACCTACATAAAAACGACACTAGGTCCTCTTCATGCTTCGCAATCGAAAAAAAAGTTTTAACCGGAACACTCATCCCTTTATTATTTCTTCGTAACCGTTTTGTTAGATTCGTACAATTTGAAGATTAAATTCATTAGCTTTGCCCATAATTTATTCACCATTATTACAGTAGTTATATATACCTATTGTATCAGTTATAATAATATATAAGTAAATAGGGTCGGTAATCAGCACAGTAAGTAAAAAATATTAAAATTTATTTTTATTGTATTAGTCTCTTAATGATGTCTATCAACGTGTGTATAATTTTATAATAGTTCACTTGATATCAAGTGTTAGATATTATTATTGAAATAAATACTAACGTCAATGTATATACAATGTTTAAAAAGAAAAAWTGTAATCTGTACATTTAATTCACAGTGGTCGTTATATAGTTTGTTTGTCTTTGTTCCAAAGACTGGATCTTCGTTAAATCATTAAGAACTTGAAGGATTTTTCAATGGTTTCATCACTTCCGATTCGTTCGTCGAAATACCATTTGATTCGTCGACGCTGGGTCCTGAATTCCACGATAACGTTTTTGCAGTTCCGAATATTAAAAATACCATAGCGCCACACATGTAAGTCCCAGCCAAAATCCAAAATACAATGCACCATTGCTCAAATGTTTGCTGCAAGTATATTATGTAAAATTAAACGTATAATATAATATCGACAGGTATTAAAATGTTAAATCGTAATTTAGTAATGTGCATGTATACTAACATTGTTGTTTGTTAGTTTTCCCACCAAGTATGATGACAACGACCCTCCGAACGAAGACAATGTATTTGCCATTCCAAATATTGTGCCTGAAATAAAATCGTAAATTCAGATTCATTTCGTTTCATAATAGTTATTTTACAAACTGTAAGTAATTATTATAATGTACCAGAAAAATTTGGAGCTATGTCCAAACCGTTTCCCAAATAACCACCCGTCACTGCTCCATTCAACGTCAATGCAATAGTGAATATAATAACCGACCACACTTGATTATTTCCAAAATACACTTGTAGAATCATCAAAATTCCTGGCGTAAATACTCCTGTGTATCAAAATATTTTTATTTTTATTTTTTTTTTCTAACTTAAATTCAAATACACGATTAAGTTTTATCAAGTAAAAACGTATGCAAGATACTAGAATAAAATTATTTAAAGTAAAATTACCGATAAAGGTGAAGATTTTTCGAGTCATTGTCTTAGATATTTTTTCAGAATTCAGTAGACGATCAGCAATTATTCCAGCTAACAATGCCATTAAATATTTACCCAAATAAGGGAGACTAGATAGAAAACCATTCTGAAATTATGATAAAGATAAATGAATTATTCTATTCTAAGCTTTAATAATATTACAAATAAAAAATAAGCATGAAGAATAAGAAATCATATTTATATTTCATCATGTATATATATTATATATATTATAATGTATATATACCTACCGATTTAATGTCAAAATGAAGTAAATACTTCATGTAAGTAGGTAACTGATTGACAATAGTAAAGTAACCAAAGACACTAGCTCCGTGTGTAATAACTATGGCCCATACAGGTAATGACGTAAGTATTTGTATCCATGGCAGTTTTTTTGGCTGTAAACAATACAACAATTGTACATAAATAAAAAAATTAATACAAAATCTTATAAATTACATTTATTGTAGGTAATTTAATCTTTTTTTGTGGGTTTAATCAAAAATTGAGTGAACATGTTAAATAGCATAATATCATTCTTATCCGTTTTAAGATATTTTATAACACTGCAAATCTATGTTATTTAAATTTAAAGTATTTTGTGATCTACGAAATAAAATAAACTAATCATGAAATAATATATGAGCTTGATATGTAAATCTAACTACAGTAATATAACATTTTTAGTGCCATTATATTATATACCTATATAAAAATGTATATTATAACGTGTTTTTTTAAAATACTTTATATTGACTAATATGATAAATCGTTGATTTTATGTTGAATATACTATGGCAAATATTGATTGTAGCTCATCATTACCTTTGTACCCGGTTTGCTTTGCTTGGCGATTTCTGTTTCAATATAATGTTTTTCGAACTCGGTAATTCTAGGATGATCGGCAGGAGTCTCAAAAACTAAATTAAACCACATGATAGACCAAGTAAGACCTACTAGTCCTGTGATATAGAATGCCGATTCCCATCCCCATGCAGAAATTAGTATTCCACAAATTGGTAATGTAATAGCTGCACCTAAAGTAGAAGCTGAAAATTCCAGTACATTTGCAAATTAGCCAATTTTCAAAAACAATTAAATACATAGCTTAAATATAGCTTTAAATTAATTTTAATAGACATTTTTTTTTTCATATAAATTGATTAATATGGTTTTATAATATTTTTTAATATCTACACAACTACTAGTTACCTAAAAATAAGTATTATAATGATTAATAAAMACTGATTTATAACCTATTTATTTTTTAAATAATCGTAATATTATGCAATACTATTTTTATTTCACGATTATAATATTTTTAGGTTAGAAATATATAAAAATTAAAAATTCTTCCCACGACAATATAATAGTTTTATAACGAATTTGAATTAATTAAGAAACGAGACAGTATAATTGACAAATTAATTTTAGTGTAGGACAAATTTTTTCTACTGATTGCTTTATAATTAATTGTCAAGAACTCAGTTTTTTTTATGACAGTTATATAAATTAATAAAACATGTTCCATTTCATATACGTAACAATAAGCAGAACATTGCTACTAAGTAATTTTTTGTACAACCAAAAATGAAGAGGTATAAATAATGAATAGTCATAAATAAATAAAGTTTTAAAAGATGATACATATAATTTAAAATAAAATTCCATAATACCCATCATGTTGGACATGAACTTGCTGCGTTCATTTGGTGGAATCCAATTGGCAGCAAGTGGTAATATAGCCGGCCATGTTACTCCCTGAAATATGAATAACGAGTTTTTTAACAAAGTTACTACATACAATTATTATAGAATAATAATATAAAGGGTACTTTTTAGCCAATGACTAAATTGATTAAATGAGGCATTTTAAATCTACCATTATATTTTTTAAATAACTCTAAAACAAATCATAATGTAAATAAAAACTTATAAAAAATAACTAAATCAACTGTCTAATTTTCCAAAAAATAATAGACAATATAACCCAATTTGAAGTATACTAAACTAACTAACTAACTTTTGTTTTTAAATAAGTAATTATATATTCAGACTTTGACAGAAAAAAGTGGATAGACACAAAATACGGCACTGAATCGGTGTATAACAAATATATTGCATTTGGTATATTTTTTAACGCGATTCAAGCTACTCTCTAAATTATTATCGAAAATAACAATCTAAAACTTTTGTGAAAATTGGTCTACTAATTTTTGAGTCTATAAACTACAAACATACGGAGACGGACATTGTTTTTTGTTATACGTTTTGGAATTTTAATAACAAAACAAAACAAAAAATATTATTAAATTTCTTTTTGATAAAATTCCATAGCAACGTATAGCGGGCGAATAGTCAATACAAATATTTTTTTGTATCTTATTTCTGTTACCAATGACAATCCCTGTATAAAAACTAACAAAAATTCAATTTTCATGTAACAAAAACCTTTAAAGATTGAAAAACAAAACAAAGCAAAAAAACACTAACATAGTCAAGGAATATGTGTGTGCAAATTTTGGTGAAAACTAATTGTTCAGTAGGTAGTATCAAGCCTATTAACCCAACACAAACTTTTTTTAATTTGTATAATATACTATAATATAAATCAATGTATTAGATAATACCTACTATATTTTTTATATTTTTTGTATTTACCCAAATGTATTAGATAATACCTACTATTTTTAGAGTTTTATTTGTATTTGACCAATTTTTTAACTACATAAAATCAACTAGGTATCAGAAAATAGAGGTTATAGCTTTTTAATTAATTATTTTAATATGTTTAGAATTCAAAAAAACTGTTTTCAACGTGTAATATAATGTGCAGAATACCTAAAATGAGAACAATCTATTTCGTATAATAAACATACATATATGTGATATGATCATAATAACAATGTATCATTTTAATTTTAAATTTATTTTAAAGTATTAAGTATATTAAACAATACTCACTAAAGTAAATCCTAAAAACACCCGACAAAATATAAGGCAATATATACTGATTTTGGCGGCCATAGGTGTCAATAGGGTAACCATTGACGCTAGCAGCATAGAGTAGCCGAATACTGGTCGAGCTCCAATCATTTCAGCCAAACGACCACCTGGCAATTCCGTAAGAACATAACCCCAAAAGAAACTGCCCAATATCATATTTTGTTCATACTCGGACCAATTGAATTTCGTGACACCAGGTGGATTAGAATGTGTCCAACTAACAGTAGCCTGAAAAAAAAACATCAATTACTTATTGGTTAGTAATTAATATTAACATTTTAAAAACAGTGGAATTTCCAGTATATTTAGTTTCTTTAATTTTTATTAGAATTGTTTGTATTCTAAAAATTCTTTCTAATTATTTATAAAAAATAAAACTGATATGCATGATAACTTAATAACTGTATTGTGGGAGACGGAAACCAAACGTTGGTATATAGCATCGTCTAAATTGTTAATTCATCAAATTTAAATTTAAATTTAAATCTAATTGTTTTTAAATGGATTTCGTAAATTAATAATTCAATTAACACTTCAACAGTAACATGCATCAGTAGCAGTTTCGGTCATGGCCGTCTGTTATTATTCCTATAGCCATATAGTCAATTACTATGGAGGGGCTGTGGAAAATCCAAGCGATTATTGTTGTAGAGTCATGAGAAGCTCTCTTCCACGCTCCATTATGTCCCTTTTACTATACTTACTTAAGACTAGTAAATACTAATAGTTATTATTTATCACAATTCGATATATTTATATTATTATAAATAATAAAGTAAACCAAACATAACGCGTAATATTCAAAGAAATAATTTAGGTACTTCATATTTGTTTTTTTGGTTTCTTGTCAAATAATTAATTTAACAATACTCAAATTTTAAATGTTAAAAAAAATATTTATAACAAATATATATTTATATTTATTTATTGTAATTAATTTTACTTGAAAATACTTGAAACATTTATAAATTAGTTTTTAAAATATTTGATATAATGCATTTTTATAATTTATTGTTGTATGTACATTAATTATAAATCCATCCAAAATAATAAATTACTCATGATAATTATTTTCAATTAAAAAACTACATGAGTATTGAATAATAAGTATGTTTATGCACCTAGTCGGTAAACAAAAATAATTTAAATAAAAAATATTTTTATAAAATGCATGCTTTCGGTTTTCTATAGATAATTTATGAGTTCAAAATGAAATATAACCTATAATTTCTTATACCACACACTTAATCAAATGTAGTTGATTTATATTTAAATTAATGAAATGATATACACATTTAAACATAATTAATGTTTATAATATAAAATAATATTAATTGATTTAAAAAATGGCTCTATAAAACGCATATATTAAATTATGATTAAACATTTTAATTTTCTTCTATTTTTTTATTTCCATACGTATTGCCGTATTGGAATCGTATTATAACTGTGATAAATCMTATAAATAAAAAACATTATTATTATATTAGTTATAGTACATATAATAAATTAGCACACTAATAGCGTTTTATTTTCCTTGATTGTTTATAAACTATAACATATGATCAAAATATCATAATTATATTTTTAAATAAAACCGTTATGCAACAAAAAGAAAAAAAAGCATAAATGTCTCTGTAATAACATTTTTATAAAATCGACAATAATTATATTGGTAACTGTGGCAACGCATGTCAATATTTCAAGACGGATGGATAGGGATAACTATATTTTAAAATATGATTAACTTATGTATAATATATATATTATTGACTCGTTTGACTCCATCATTTACAATTACAATTTTAGTACAACATAGTTGGCAATGCATTAATTTAAATTTTACAATTCGTTTAGAAAATCAAGCATACCTTTAAATAAATGAAACATAATGGTATTTATAAAAAAAAAAAAACCTGATCCTTAAAATATACTATAGAATTCAAATATGTTTACTCAAGGTATCAGGTTTTATGATAATTTATAATATATATTATTTCCACTGATCGAACTAAAATATCTGGTTTTGAAATTCCCCGCTAGATTATATTTAAGGCATTAAAAAAAAAATGCACCAAGTTTCGTAAAAATGGATGCTGTTATACTTGTTATAATATTACTAAAATAACGAAATGAATGGCACATAATAAATAATAAATTATGTAAGTACTTATTCTTTCCTAAATATTATTTATTTATAATAAGAAATTTAAAGAGTTTTTTAAACGCTATACAGTCAAAAAAATAACTCTAAATGCCAAATGGCATTAATTACATGTAACACGTTGTGTACATTTTAATATATATATGTATATAACTATAAAATTTAAAAATTAATAAAAGATGTTAGAATTTAAAAGAAAATGAACTCGCTGATCTTGCGGCCAAAAATGCTATCACATCACCTCTATCATCGTCCATAAATACCTCTTCTTCCAGTGACATACGAATACTTATAATAAAGGAATGTCAACAAAGATGGCATCAAAATTGGACATCTTATTACACAAAATTAAACCACATAAAACATAACACTGACAATTGGACATTTCCCTTCGAAATCCATAGAAAATGAGAGGTAATAATAACCAGACTGAGAATAGGACACACAAAAATCTCCCACAATTTTCTAATGTCCAGGGAAGAGCCTCCAATATGCATCACAACCTGCGGTGTTCAAGTAACCATTAAACACATCCTCACCGATTGCCGAACATATCTCAGTAGCCGTACAAGCTTCAACCTACCCGAATCATCACTTTCAGAAATATTAAACAACAATCCTCAATCCATTACCAACATCATACAATTCATCACAGCCGCCAATCTTCTAACCAAAATKTAGTATAATTTAGATATAGATATAATTCATGTAATTTTTTTATATACATATATTTCTCACTTTAAACCCAATAGCCCATGTTGCCGAGGGTATTATTAATAAAAAAAAAAAAAAAAAAAAATGTTGGAATTTCCATTAATATAAAACAAGGTAAATGCATAAATTATACTCATCCACTTACAGTAACAAAACTACAAAACTAATGAAAAAATTGTAAATAAACAACATATAAAATGAAAATATAATTTAAAAAAAACTTTAAATTATTGTATTTGTTTTTCAATTTTTTAATCATTGCTCTCCAAATTAAATAATTTTTTTTCTTGTGTGATAATTTCAATAGTTAAAGTGTTAAAGATATACATTTTAAGTGTAAATATATTGATTAAGTTGTAATAAAGTAGTGTACTATTTCAGGTTACAATTTGAAAATGCTTGTGTATCATAACAGTTCAAGGTTGAAAAATATAACATAAAATATATACAAATATGAAAATTTGTTTCATCGCCTATTAGTATATTTCAGCCTATATCGAATACCTATCCCAACATAATATTGTTTATCATTAGGTAATAAATAACTAACGTACTAGGTAACATAATTACTATAAAAAATATTGTAGTCTACAGATGTAATTTATACCAATATCAAAACATGGAAGGTCGTCATAAAATTACAATCGAAAAAATACCCGAACAAATCAGTTATAGGTATTATAATAATTAAATAGCATAAACGATATCATGATCTAATGCCCTAAATTATTATTGATAAATTATAAGCTATATTTTCACTACCTCGGGGTTCTTAATCTAATAACTAGAAAACATAATACATTTATATTAACCATAAATAATGATATTAATCATTCAATATTATAAATAGTTAAATATTCATCAATCAGAAAATTAAAAATATAAAATCTTTTATATTTTATCATTTAAAGTTTACATAAATACTATAAATCCGAAGATATAAAATTAAATTATCTATACTTATCATTATAAACAAAATGTCCTCGGAGTTGATATAACTGTAAGATTATTGAACTAATTCACGGATCATCAGCTTTAATAATTAGATTCTAATCCATAATATTATATATTTATATATAGCAGCCAAATAGGTAAGTATTAAGATTATTTTGAAATGTTGAATTTATTGATATGACATCATATACCTATATTGATTATTGGATATAATTAGTAAATCAGTAGGAAGTATGCAAAAAAAAATAATTTAAGAAAACGATATTTTAAATATTCATCAATTATTCAACTTGTTTTCATCAATTAATTCATTAAAAACACATAATTACATAATTTATAATATTTTTATCTAAATCTAATAAGTTATGTATGTAATTTTTCTTATATAAGAAATGTGTTTTAGATTTAGAGCGAAATGAGTAATGTATTGATTTACAACGATCCGATGAGTTTTTGTTATTTATTTATTTATAATATATATTTATATTTGTATTTTCTAAACATTATAATATTTTCAAAATATTTTTGCTCCTTAGTTTTCTTAATAAATAACTATAACAGAATTAAATTTTTGTGGCATTCGAATTAGATAAATTATTGCTGATCTTTATATTCTTAAGATTATAATATATTATAAATTATAATAATTTAAAAAAATGTATTATTTCAAAAACAAAATATKCCCTATTAAATTTCAATCAGATAAATGTAATTATATATAGATATATGTAATCTAATACTATGGATTAAAATAATCAATCTAATTATTAAAACGTATTTTTTATTTTTATATACACATTTAGTTTAGTATATTTATTTAAATTAAAATTATCCACACGAATAAAAATAATCGAATAACATACATATAATATAGTAGGCTAGTTAGTAGGCATAAATGATTCACTTAATCTGTTATTTATATCAGGAAGTAAAAATTTATAAAATATTAATTTATATTTTAACATACCTATACCTAATTATTTATGAATCAAGTCGCACTTTGATCACAATCAAAGATCTTTGATTTACCTTCAAAACATTTTCCAAATTACTAAGACGTAATATTTTATATTAATGCAATTATAAATAGTTTGGTTATTTTATACTTAGTACTAGAACCTATACTATAAGAACTAACAATATATATATAATATATATAATATGTAATAATTATATATTATATATGATTTATAATATCTTCCTGTGCCTACCTACCTATTTTTTATTAATTTGATTAGATTTGGAATGTTTTTATTTGAAACTTTTTTTATTTTTTTATTTTGAATTAAGAACATTTAACAATCTGTACTCGTGGTACAATAAGTTTAATAGATATTTGAATCTATTTGCAACTAAATGTGGAAAGCCAAAATGCTGAAGTGTTTTAATCATATTTTAAATTTCACGAATTAAAAAAAATATAGCTTTATATAATATTATGTCAGTGAATTCTGATGAGAAAAAGTACCAATTTTCCATTAAAATAGAAGAAGGCGAAACGCTACTTTTCATAATAAGGACATTTGTGTGTATAACGCAGTGAGAATAAAATCTTATATATGTATAATGTACATATATTATACATTTTACTAGCAAGTTCCAAAGGTTTATCCATTTTAATTACAATCTTTCCTTGGGCTCTGTGTAGTTAGCCGGAAAAATGTATTATAAATTACATCACTGCAAAGTGCAAAGTGCAAAGGAAAATGTATTATTGTAACACTTTCATCCTTGACGAAATCTTATATTCTTAGAATGTATAAGTGCAATGACATATATAATCGGTTAATAATAGTCGTTAATTTAATGTGATTCAAAATTTCATAAATTCATCGTTAACATTTGTTATTTATTTTCCAATTACACTATACGTCTATGTCTAATCACTGATTATAATGAAAAATTAAATAACGAATCTAACGTCATACTAATACCTGTTACCTAGTGATTAATAATAATTGATTACCAAAGAAAAATTTCAATAGTCACTACAATATAGGTAGGTAATAAAATACATTATATTTTCATGTAAAGTTTTAAGTCGCTCTGCTGTACAGTAGGTTACAAGTGGGTTACCTACAGTTATGGTTGAAATTAAATTTGAATCCAATGATATTATATCATTGTATACGAAAAACGATTCTGAGCGGAGACTTTATCTTTATCTGTCTAAGATATAATATAGATTATTAAAAATTTTCAAATCTTGGATTTAAAAAGAAAATTTTTATGCATTTCTAGCTTAAAATAATTTACAAATTATCATGATTTTTACGTATGTTGTCAAAATTCAAACTTTGAATGCTTATAAAAAAAAATTGTGACTATATATTTCTTTTATTTTTCAACTGCTATTGTAAAAATATGTGAGGACCCTTGTATTTAATTTTACACATCTTAGATCTAAAAATAAAAACCTTTATGAATTTCTAACTAAGATATTTTGAACATTTCCGTAATTTTTACGTATTAAGTCAATATTTGAACTTCAAATGCTATTCTTATAATTTTTTAATCGCTATCAGAATAACTTATGAGGAACTTTGTATTAAATTTTTAAGTATTTTGATTGGTCCAAAAAAATGTTATCGACACTTCAAAAAAATGTTTCAGAAAAATTGAAAATTTCATTGTCTATAAATATCTCAAAAAAAGTCAAAATATTTTGAAAATTAAATCAAGTAAAGAAAATCTAAATCTAAATAACTGGTAAAATTTTCAAGTATCTACGACTAATACTTTTTGAATAATAAATGTTTAAAATCGTTTGAATCCGATAAATCGTTATCGCTACACTATTTCGTAAAAATTTAAAATTCAAACGCACCTAAAACTTTTCGTATAATGAAGCTTCGAGTTTTCTCTATAGCTACTTGAAGGAAAACTTATGAAAAACTTAGTGTTGTATTTTTAATCCTTAGTTATAAACACAAAAAATTTTATGATTTTTCAAAATTACTTGCAAATTTTCGCGTTTTCGAAAGATTTCGTAAAAATTTGAACTATAAACGCTTATAAAAAAAAATTGTGAAGAACGATTTTTAATTTTTTTTAGCTACAATAAGAAAAACTCATAAGGAACCTTGTATTAAATTTTCAAGTTTTTTGGTCATCCAAATTTTTTGTACGGACACTTCAAAAAAAATTCTCATAAAAATCGAAAATTTCAGTGGTCTATAAATAACTCAAAAAAAGTCAAAATTTTTTAAAAAATTTAACTGTATATAGATAACATTAACATAAACATTTGGTGAAAATGTCAAGTATTTACATTGATTAGTTTTTTAATTACAACCATATAAAAAATCGGTTTGGTTGAAAACTAGTTTTGCGTAAAAATTCCAGTTTTTCTGTAACTTTTTTTCTGTTTTTCTCGATTTTTTTTAAAACTGTAGGAAAATGTTTACTTTTGACCTGTATAATGCACCAAGGATATTCACTTTTACATCGGAAACCACCCCCAAAGTTTGAAATTGAAGCATTATTTCGACTAATTATGCTGTACACAGACACACAAAAAAAAACACATCATTGTAAAATCAATACATTCATCACTCCATTTAAAATCTATAAATTAATATAATGTACAAAAATTGGATTGTTTCAACAAATTTCATAAAAGCAGTAAAATGTCCTAAAATTTGAATAATTTTACCAGTCTCAAATAAGAGTGGCGCCCTCTTTCTTATTACATTTATAATTCATATCCTATGACAATAGATTAACAGCATAAACCATTGGAAAATAAATTTAGTAAGTGGGTAATAACTAAAATGACATAATCTTCACCAAAAACTCTCGATTACAGACGTAGGTATATAAAACGTGGACGCCAAACGGTGATTTGATGTTTCCATCTTCAAATGTACAACATGTCAACATGGCAAACTTGATGTTCACAATAATAAATTTTACTCTTTATTTTTTTTTATATTTTTATTTATATTTTATTGTTTTAGAATGAATTTATTTATTATAAAACTTAAAGGCAAGAATGTTATCTAGGAAGATTTTATTGATTTTATTATTTTTAAGTAAATTATGATCATTTTAAAATGTATAACATAAATATAATATATAACAGTATAACACAGTATATATAACATTATATCCAGGTGCGGACTGGCTGGGATGCTAGGATGCTAGGATGCTACAGCATCCCTTGTCCTAAAATATATTCGATCTAAAATTTGATCTAATTTGTTTTTTTTAATCTAATATTGTACAATTTTATTTTAATATTTGTTGTAACTTGGTACCTATTTACGATTTTTTCTTATTTTCAATATTTTATACATAATCTACATATTTTAAATTTGCTCCAGACATTTTGTTATTTGCCCTTTAAATTATGTAGCATCCCATGCCCTTTTTTACCAGTCCGCGCCTGATTATATCTATAATATAATTTATGAGTTATGATTTTCTTAGTTCATTAATGTTATTCTAATTACGCCAAAATGGTCAGAGTTCTTGTCAAATTTTTCTAATAGTTAATCGATATTTATAAAATTCATATTATGTTGGTAATCTGATTGAACTTTTAGAGAACTATTTTCATAGTAACAACAAAAATAGAATCAGATTTTAATTATATCGTCATAGGAAAACCTATGTTTTTGCTTTGGGGCGCATCCAAAGACTTTTAGATTTCGTGCCAATGAAGTAAAATAACTGACCAACAATGTGTTGTCATAAAGTAGTGAAATTAAATTCAAGGGCAGTGTTTCTCGTAATATCTGATATTTCAAAGTAGTTATGTTTAAAAATTAAAATAAATTGAAATGAAATATTAAATACGAAATTAGTTACATCACAAAGTGGTAATATATCTACTAATATATACTCAATCTACAATCAATTGTGTCTGGATATGTTATGATTTATATACCCTGAGGGCTTAAAAAAATAATATTAGATGTACTTACATTGGTATCATTTAAAGGTGAAGTTGAAAAATTAGTGGCTTGTTCTGTCGAGACATTATTATGCTTATTGGTGGGCACCATGTCTACGATGGCAATTGTGAAGTTAACTCGTAACATATAATTGACCATAAATCCAAATAAAACCATAAGATTTAATATTCTTGAACAGTTCATCGACCCTATATAAGATTTAAAATTGTCAACACAAGCTGTATATACGTATAAGGCGTATCGTATTAATCACTAAAAATACTTACGGGTTTGTTTAATGACCAATCCAGTCTCCACGTTAGCTGGTTCTTCTTTCTTCATTTTTCAAAAGTTACACCAACTTTTAGTGGTAAAAAATCTATCACTTTTGTCCTAAAAGTACCGAATAATATTAATGATAATATTAGTATAGTATAATATATTATGTTTAAATTTATAAATTTTTATTAAAAATTCAAATATAAAAAAATAATAATAATATATATAAATATACAAATACGAATTGAAGATTAATATCGCTTAATTATAACGTCTGAAAACGTATTCATAGGCACAAGTTTTACCTATTCCTACAATTTAATGCATATAAATGTATTGTTTATAGCTAAAATGTTAGGCTTTGAATTATTTAAAATAGATTATTGAAAAAGTTTTTTTTGTTCTTTTATTGTACATAGATGCCTAAAAATAATATAAATCACAATATCATAAATAATCAATGTTTGAATAAAAATGTTTTCCATTTAATAAACAAGTAGGTAAGAGGTAACGTAATCGTTTTAGTTTCAATAAAATTAATATATTAATGGCTTAAATAGGTATCATTATAAATTATAATAATGACAAATTATATTAATAATACATTAAATGAATGGCCTTAGATATACATATTATGTACTTATTAAAGTTACAATTTTCATGTCTTAAAACTTAGAAACACGAAAGGACTAAACATGCAATATGTTTAACGTTTGGGCTTATTTAATCAATACAAATAAATTTGCATTAAAAAATTCAACAAGATCAATTATTATGGCCTACAATATTTAGTTTAAATTGCCTTTAAGTTCAAGAACTATCATTTTTTTTTTTTAATTATGTTTGTACCTATATGAGACTAACTAATCATTATAGTAAATAACCTWAAAACTTTGCAGTAATAAATTGAAAAATTATAATTAAGAAACGAATATCTGCATTCATTAATTCAAAATGGAAATTKTTCATAGATTAAAATAAAGTTTTATTCAAAATATGTTAGTTAACGGAAAAAATTGTTTTATACTTTCAGTATAAACTTTAATTGTATGTAACTTTTGTGTTATTTTTTCCTACACAATGTTATATATATTAAATTTATTCATTATTCACAAATTTAAACCATACATAAAATATTAAAAGAAATGACTAAATTTAGAATCATATCATTCTGTATAAAAAAATACCTGTAATATGAACATCATTTACTATTATTTTCAAGTTCACTGTTGAAAGTCGATATGTTTCGTTTGCACGAAAAAGCTAGGTCAACCTACATTATACTTAAAACTTCTGTAAGTGTGTTACAAAATTGATCAATACAAATTGAGTGGGGTATACATCACGAAATAATAAACAAATGTAAACAAAACACATTTACTCTATTATTGTGATGTTATTAATTATATGATCTACACTTTTCGAGATTCCGAAAAATAAATTTAAATTACACTTTTTGTTAATAAAATAACTATAATGTCTTTTTGTATTGTCTACTACAGTTACATTTTAATTTATTGAAGCCACAAATTTCGTTAGCTATACACAACATAAGAAAATAATTATATTCCTTTAAACTTACACTTCGAGAAGATAACCTCTACAAATAACAAACTTATTGAAAAATAATTGTTTATTAAGAAACATTTTAAAAATAGAAGTTAAATAAGTCGATGCAACTCCTCCATTTAAGTTAGAAGAATTAGATTTTCATAGTATTACACGAAAGTATTAAAAGTACTTATATTAATATCCTAAATTTATATCAAAAAATAAATAAAAATTGTTTGTATAAATATCTAATAAACAAATCATAAACAAAAAAAAATACACTTTTTTGTAATTCCTTCGAAAAAGGCCACGATGTAGTATTGATTGTAATTACTTATTATCCATAATATATTTTATATAGCCTATATACAATTAATTGGAAATCACAAAGCCATTAAAATGGTTTAATTAAATGTAATAAACAATTAATATATCTAAGCTAAACTTTAGTACCTACAAGCGCGTGTTACTAGTAAATATTATTTGAAAATCTATTGTCATATATAGCAATGAAAGCTCTGTCTTATACCATAATAGTGTATTATTTTTATACATATTGTTATATTTATGTATGTTGAAAGACAATCAATTATTGAAAATTAAAATAATTTAACTATTTCATTCAGTACAAAATATAACTCACTGTTTGAAAAATAAATATTTGACCACCTAGTCTATTAGTTATCGAATAACAAATAATCAATAATTGTAGATTCGTAGATATACAAAATTAAGAACCAATATGTATAATGTATAGGGTATAGCCGTACGTAATATTATAGATACTAAACCAATATTGCTGAGTAAATTATCTATACTATAATAAATATTATATAGGATTAATAAATAATTGTACTGTGTAGTATTAGTACCAATATTAGTTTATAACATAAATAATAAACTGCTGAAATCGTAATATATTAAGATAGGTACCTACTTAAGAATGTTTTCCTTTATTGGATAAAGAGAAAGGAGCACTATTCGATCTCATATCTATAAAAGAGATCGACTTATATACACAAAATGTCAAGTAAATTGATCTTACAACGAAATTGATTTCAATTTTCAAATAAACGCAGAATTTGAATATTCCTTTCAAACATTTTAGTTATGTACTTCGCTAATGTGATAAAATATTCTCAAAATATTAAACCATAACCATACATTTCTGTATAAATATTATATATATATATATCCAAAAAAAACTTTTTATATTGGTATTTTATCTTCTGTGATACTGATTATTTTTAAAGTAATCTTTTTTTTGCATTTTTCGATGATGGAATTAATACCAATTTGAAACAAAATAAAAATGACGTTTAGTTTAACTAATAACTTGTAATATGTGTCATAAATATATTTTAAAACCCCTCCCCCCCCCCAGAAAAAAATCGTATCTACGTCGCTGTGTACAATAATTGAAAATAAATTTTAGTAATTAGTAGGTATAAACTATAAACATACAATTTAAAATGTAATCTGTTGTTTTGTAGATAAATAAAAATATTATAAAAATTGTTATTTATTATTATTTGCAAATTAAAGTCTATATTATTTAGAATATAGATTATAAAATATATTTTTATAAATAATTATCTAGCTGAACTATGAAGCATCCATGGACTATGGTAAACTTCAACTGATAAAATCGATATACCCAATACAAACTGTATAATTAATGTTTAATTCTCAAAATATATTATTTTACTATAAACAATTTACCTTTTCTATACACGAAAATATGATAAACATAAAAATAACAATCCAATTTCACGATTTTATTTAAAAAGATCAATTTCTTCTTGGTACCTACCTACGATCGACCTAAAGTCTATTGCTAGATTTATAAATTGAATATCAATATTTCAGGAGAATACGAGATAAACACAAACCGTGGAATAGAAGAAATGTATGGAGAAATACAAATGTAGTTGGAATCCTAGGGAGTAAGACTAAGCTAAGCCGGTCATGTATAGACGTCAGAAGGACCCGTAGATTTGGATACAAGATGGCAACTGAGCACAAAATTATTTTAGCAGTAGAAAACGGGGACCAACTTGGTAGCAAATGAGAGCGAGACGATATGGAAATGAAGCTAGACAGACCGTTAAAAAACAATAAGAATAACATCATACACATTTCTCAATTGTAATACTTATATTATTTCATCTAAGTACATAATCAAATAAAGAAACTTTGCTATAATTGTTAACAATTTATTACACCTGTTTATTGGTGCTTATTGGTTGATATAATATCATAAACACTAAACAAGGGAAACTATGATCCAATTTGTTTATTTACAATAATTTATAATAATTCATAATTCAATGATTTTTTTTACTGTATAGTATATGTATATAATTATTCTTCATTTAGCTGTTTACTATTACCATTTGTACTACTAATTTTTAATTTGTTTTTGTATCTAAAATGTATTATAAGATAAGCTAAACTGTACCTATAATTTTTCAAATTGCTAAAGGGTTTAATACCCGTTTACTATACATAAATAAAAAATAAATTACCTACATTTTATTAACTAATACGGTTTATTTACATTATTATTTATTTACATTATTTACATTATTATTTATTATTCATCGAAACTATAATAGACAAACATTAAGCAAGTTTTATAGTTCATTGAAGTATGGGGGCCAATTTTTCGCCTAATTGAAGAAAAAAATATTCATGACTTATTATAATATTATTCAATACATATTTACCTAGTTGATTCTATAGAATAAAATAAAAAAAACTAAATATAATTCAAAGCATAAATTATACAACATTTCAGTTTACATTATCTAAACTCTAGAGTATATTTAAGTGGATTGATGAGATATAAAAGACATGAAATATTCTTTTTAGTATAGATACAATTATACAATAAGCAAACATAAAGTTAATAAAATAAGGTAGGTTAAAAAGACTAAAATTATTGTATTCGTGACTTTAAAATTAAAAAACAACGAAATTTAATTAAAATAACAATATTCACCAAATCAAAGATTATTATCAAATACATATAATATTTCATAATCAATAAAAAAACTTTAAACAATAATTTAGTATAAATTAAGAATACATAAAAATTATACTTTGAACTTCAACTTTATTGACGCATTTTGTAATATAGATTAAATCGATCTGTAAATGTTTTTTATTTTTTATTAAGTTCGAATAAATCGTTTAATAAATATAGCTTCTGACAATCGCCATTGGCTTATACTATCTTAGATAATGTGTACACTTCTACACACGTTTATTCAATAATGCATACGTTTTAAAAACATTATTGTGTAGATTTTTTTTGAATTGATAAAAATGTTTGTTTAAAGATTTTATTATGAGATAACCATCTAGTTTTTAGAATATTATCGTCATATTATCACTATTTAGTATCTTATATTAATTATAATTATTCCATAAATACTAAAGTAAAAATTTAAAAAAGTAACATTGTGTAAGTATGGAACAATGTAAAGCATGTTGCATATGTAGAACCGATTTTATAAAGCAATCAGAACCACTCTGGAGCAGTATATATTTGGTATACCTATTATCAAGGAGTCATTAAAACAACACAACAAATTTCACATACAATACTATATGAATATGTGAAAGATATTGTCGTAAAAATGTGTAGCTCTAAAGCAAAATCTTCTCTTGCAGCTATATTAATCCGGGCCTTGTATACTGACTACCTTCGCGAGATAGGTACACGATTACGCGAAAGAAATAAACCTGTAATGGCGTAATCGTATAAATATCCTATTAACTTAATCCAAACATTATAAAATAATATATCTACGCACAATTACCCAGAATAATAATTTAAAAACGTCTTTTTTTAAAATTGTATGAGGGTTTTTGTATATACATGACAATAATTATTTATTCAGATTTATAAAAATATTAACTCTACAATAATAAAACGATCATAAATACAGTGAATAATTTATATTGAACTTATACATAAGTAGATTTTTAATGTAATTTCTGCGGTATGGGGATTATTAATGGTAAAATCAAAAACACTTGTCACTTCCGAATAGGTACATTTCTTCATATAATCCACAAGAAAGAGAGAAAACGAAAGTAGGTAAGTAGGTATATCAGTGTATGTAGAGAAATTAGAGAATACATGAAAAGGTAACTTTTCAGAAATCTACTATGGTGTTAAAACTATGTACAACAGCACAAAGTACAACATTATAACTGCTATAATATTAATCACGTTTTTACTTGAATTTCTATTTGCAACCAAAAGTAAATAAATATTTTATTATACACATAATTACATTCATTATTAAATATATTTCAATATTAAGTATTTTATAAGCCGATAAAAATGTTGCGTTTGAATTTGACGGTTAATAAAAATCCGTTACACTTTAAAAATATTTTGTTTTAAATTGTTGTACGCGTGTCTACTTTATAATCTATCAGTAAGTAGAAAATATAAAATAAAACTACATACTGTAATTAGATTAAACGATTATAATAATAATATACCTACCTACTTCGTGTCATGTATTTTCCCTGCTTATTTAAATTGAAACCTACCTAATGAAAATTGAAATGTATATGTTTACTCGGAGAAAACGCAATAAACTATTGGTATTGTACACTTACGCAGTGTAATATACTAGCTCTATACTTCTACGCTATTAGTCGACGCACACGTGTTGTTTCATTTAATAATTTTTTTTCTTAATCCCTCAAACTATAAATTTATTAGTCGCTGGTGTAAAGTGACTGTGTATCTATATCGGCGGTCAATGCGAGCTATTCTATTATTAAGCACATTGCGGAGAGAACAAAAACTACACAAAACATATTATATATATATATATATATATATATATATCAGAGTATCGTACTGATAATAGAAAATTCTACCATTCTACATTTCTACTCAAATCAAATCAAAACAATATAAGACTCACGGTTTATGTTATTTTGGTCCAAATTGTGAATGGTTAAAATTGAATGAAAAACTTTAAAAAAAAACTTAAAAAAGATAAAAAAATAAAAAAATGTTATCACAGACGGACGGACGACTAAATACACACGCGCATACACGTGTGTTCCACGCAGCGACGTACGAACGTAGTGTAGGATTCTCCTCGACGAAGACGAGAGGACGAGAGGTTACGGTTTATGTATTATTATTATTATTATCATCATTGAAATGGACGACGGCGACAGCAGTGGCAGCGGCGATATAACAAAGTGGTCGGCATAAACTGCACTGGGACACACGCGCGCACTACAGCAGCAGTGGTGACGGCGTCCTGCACTCCTGCTACAGGTGCGTGGCCCGAACACTCGGAATAATTAAAATAWTATGTTCTCGAGAGTCGTTGTTGTATCGGTCGGTCGGTCGGTCGGAGAAGACGACGACGGTAGCGCGGCAAAAACGAACGGTAAAAAAAAATTGTATACAAAAAATATGTATAAAAAAACACCACGTCTAAATAATAATAATATACGTATGTTATATAGAAGCAATATAGTGTATAATTATTGTGATTCGTACGGAAATATACAATAACAATACGGAGTACACGTAAAACGGGCGACGGGTCGTGAAATTATTCTTTATGCATATWTTATATTATTTTATCGCCGTGTGCGCGAAACAAACGGAACGCGCGAACCGTGGCAGACAACGCACGTGAAACCGTGGCGGGCTAACTGCCTCGGGCGCGCGCGCTCTCGTCGGACGAATACGAAAAATACGATAAAAATGAAATAACCGTCGCGCGCGTGTCTTCGGTTGACGGCGTCGTCCTCGGCTCTCGAATCGGCGCACCGCGGTGCTCGCCTCGTTATGTTTTACGCGCGCGCCGACCCAGAGACCTTGTTTTCAATTTGTTTCCCCGTCGAATCCGTTGCCAGTAACAGACTATAATACATTATTATTCTTTTCTTTTCCATTTCCCGTACACGTAATTTCGTGTTCTGCGTGCGCTACGGAATCTGATTATCAGAACTTTAATTTAATACGATTATTATACAGGATAATGATTTTTTTTTTTTAATTATGTTCAGTATAATATGATATAATATGATAGATCGTGTACAGTTATTATACACTGTAAGGTTAGTGGTTAGTGTACCTGGCTATTTGATATAGGTACCAATAGTTTAATATATATATATATATATATAGACGTAGTTAGGTACCGAAAATAATTGTGTTCGAGCGCTGAATTGCGATACCTAGCGAAAGTCGAGGCATGTTTTATTTTTAGGGGGACGCGACTGCTCAAGTACTAACCTATATAAACCTACTTGTATTATAATATAATACCTATACCTACTTATGTAAAATAACTTAACATTATTATTGCACAACATGTATATTGTATAATTCGAATGAATACTAGCGCGGCGCCACCGACGATAAACGGTTACGACTTAAAYTAAATAAAAAAAAATACGCAATGTCTGTTCTTCCCCGCGACGACGACACGCAACGGGCGTTTTCAATGTTTGTGGATTATACTTAGCCATTCCATTACCCACATATTRATATGTACTTCGTAGGAATCGGGTATTATAATTCATTATATAACACCGATTTATTTCTGCCAAGTGTTTTGTGTGTATAGTATTACATCGCATCAATAAGATTGCAGGTAATTAATAATTATATTAATACAGCACAAGATTTTCACGCAGTCGGAGAAATGGTAATCGCGCGGGAAAAAAATACCGACGCTACCGGTGTACGACAAACCCGGTGGATTGATATTTGATGTCACGTGACTGACATGATGGAACAATGGGACGGGTACTGATGACAGCGACGGAAGAGAAAACGATAAGGTCTGAGTGTCCTGTAAATATTACTCTGTAATAATAACTGTATGCAGACACGACACGTCATAATAAAATATTTTTCCGTTCGGTTTTTTTACGTGAACTATAACATTAAATGTTTTTATATTTCATACATTATTATATTATTATCATCCATACATGTAGCATCATATAATGATGTGTACACTCGTWACTAAACGATACTGTCCCGGACGCCCGCCGCGTTGCGCGCGTGTTTACATATTGTATTTAATATTCTTGAATATGCATATTTTCTGTTTATGAGTAATGAGTGACAGTTTTTACACTGTCATTCCCTGCCGAATTAATATCTATACATATGCAGTCCAAAAAAGTACTACGTAAACGGTTTTTTTTCCTGTACAGTTTCGCGATGACTCCCATATATAATTCTGCGAATTGTGAAGCAACTTATTTATGTATCTACTATTTTCCTTAAAAAAATTGTTATTTAAAAAAAAAGATGTACAGTATTTCTTAATAATATATATCTATCATAATGTATTATTATATTATAAGTATATCCATTAATTATTACTATTTCTTTTTTTTTATTGTATAACGTTATATGAAAATGATATCTCGATCTCAATGTACCTATAATGAAAAYTATTTAATAATTAGTTTTCATAATCATTGAATAGGTACTTAAAATGAATTACCTAAATATATATGTAATTCCTAATTATTTTAATCTCTACCTACGCATGTGCTAAAATACTGAAAATTAAAAGTAGGTGCTTGAGTACATTTTAAATAAATTATTTACTCTTAAAGTTCTATTGTTCTACTGTTTAGACCGAATAAAATTACTAATTAGTAAACTTTTTTTTCAGGTTTTCAATTCGTTGTGATTTTTCAATGTCATCACTTTAAATTCTGTATCAATGTAATAGCAATAACACTATAATAACGCGATAGTAGATCACTAGAGTCATGTACTATTATAGGTACCTAGTTACATAATTTATTTAAATATTTTTATGAAATAATAACATATACAGGGGTTTGGTAAGTTCCCACATGAAACATAGCAGGTAAGCGGGTACATATGTAAGTTCCCACACGAAAATTTATTTAGATTTAGGACTGACGACTTAAACGTAGTTAAAATTTGATTGTTTTTGTAAAAATAAAGTCTTTTGTAAAGTCCAATATATTTTTTGAATCTAGTTCAAATATATAATAAAAATTAATAATATAATGTGTAGGTATATGGTCCAAATATTATTTGTACTTTCGCAAGTGTTTATAGTAAGATTTGTATCAGAACTAGTACTATCTCGAGCTTTGCAATAAGCCAAATAAAGTTTAATTTTTTTCTACTACTATTATCATTGATTTTAGAATCAACGCTATTATTACAACTTTTATTATTTTATACCTATAAACCTATATACAAATAATATGTGGACCATACCTACTACACATTATATTATTAATTATTGGATTAGATTCAATTAAAAAATTAATTGGACTTTTTTTATGCAACACAAAAAAAAACAAATTTTAACCACACCAACTACGTTTAAGTTGTCAGTCCTAWGTCTGAATAAAGTGGGAAGGAAGTTTGTATTCGGTATAATTTTTTTTCATGTGGAACTTACGTACGCGTGTAATATTTTTCGTGTGGGAACTTACATTCGCCCCATATACTGCAGGGTGTCCCGCAAGGATTTACCCATTACGATGATATCTTCCGAATCAATGGAGATTTCCAAATTCTGGTTATCACATGGATAAAAACAACTATTATTTCATATTTTAATTTATTTCAATGTTCAGGTAAAAAAGTTAAAAAATATGTTTTTTATTTAGTTGTTCTAAAAAAAATCGCTATTGCCATTTTGTTGAGTTTCTTTTTYTGAAAATATTGACGTTTCAACATTTTATTTTCATTAATTTTCTGGTTTTTAATATTTTTTCTAGTTTTGAAAAAATAAAATGTGATTATAACTAGGCAAAATGAAAGCGTTTAGCCGGCCGTATGAGCACGCGCGTGGCGTGGCGTTTTACATATTTGATTTTTCTCGAAAATAAAAAAAAAAAAATACTAAAAAAAATAAGGAAATTAACGAAAACAAAATTTTGGAACGTCAATATTTTCAGAAAAAGAAACTCAACAAAATGGCGATAGCGATTTTTTTGGAAATAACTAAATAAAAAAAAAAAATTTTTAATTTTTTTATCAAAACATTAAAATAAAWTAAAATATGAAATAATTGTATTTTTTTCCATGTGAATTTATTACAAAACCAGAATTTTGATATCTCCATTATTTCGGGAGATATTGTAATGGGTAAATCTTTACGCGACATCTGTATAACGTAGTAGTATATAGGTATAATATTCTAATATATCAAAAATAATATAGTTCCTAGAAAAAGGTATAGGTACTATGAATTTAATAATATCGATGATGCTCGCGTTTAAAAAATATATCAACCATCATTTAGGCTAATTAAAGATACAAATTATGCGAAAATAATTATACATAAAGGATATGTATAGACTATAGGTATACCATAACCATGCTAGTTAACCCAAAGAAAAAATTTAAAATCTCTAAGCTACCTATCAGGGGTAAATTCTTATTATTATAATGTGTTATTTCAAGATGTGCTTCAAAGTAAGTTTGTAAAGTGATACCACTGATACCTATATATGACGATCTACAAACATCGAAACTACCGATTTCAATAATATACCACAGAAATAATACTTAAACTAAAGGCTAAATTGTAACAGTTTCTTTATAGGTGGTGATGGGAAGGATCGTTTCCACGAACACTATGAAAAACTAATAACTTCGATGTACCTACCTACTATTACCAAAAATTTGAAATTGAAAATACTTTTTTCCACTATGGTCTGACGCAGACCACGGACTTGTTAGTGGTCATTTGAACACAAATATCACATGTTTATCAATTTTATTATAATAGAAATATTTCCAAACAGACTTCAAAACTATTCTAGATAGTTTAAAGGAGTGTTGAGTTACATCTTTACAAAAAAAATCACAAAAGTATTTGGCTTAAGTACCTAGTTTATTTAAGGAAAAATAGTTTTTAAATTTAAAATATGTTTCTTACATTATAATGAAGATGGAGCATATTTTGATCGTTTAAACAGTGCTTTACCTTTCATGTGTTCGACGTACAATGTACCTATATTAATACAAAAAAAAAAAATTGAAATTCATAATACTTTTTTGCACTATGGTCTCACGCAGATACACAGCGACACCTGTTGCTGGTCTTTTCCACACAAATCTCACATGTTTGTCAATTTTGCTGTGGAAATATTTCCAAAYGGACTTCAAAACTATTCTAAATAGTTTAAGGGGTTGTTTTTTGTGACGCTTATACTGGGTTTAAGTACCGTAAATTAAACGGACTTAAAGTCATCACTAATTCTAACGCTTCGCCTAATTTCCCGAGATTACGTTAATGTAAGATTTACCATAATATGTCCATATCAATCATCAATGTACCTATATTCACAAATCCCTCGTTCTAATCACACTTCTTCAGACGCCTATATAATACCGTTATTTAGGTTTTATTGAAGTTGCATATATGAAATATGTTATAAAATATGTTATAACGCCATTGCAACCTTGATCTAAAAGTCAAGCGATCGTGCCAAGGAGAGAAATGGAAAACATAATCATCATATATATTTAAATTAGAGTTGTAAATAATATTTTCTTGTACAAATTGTATAGTAAAAAATTAGTTTGTATAATGTTTTAATAATTATTAATTAATGTCTACAGAACAAATAATTATTAGGAAAATATGCATTATGATGGCTTCTCAACAATAATAGTGTTGCATTATACGAACTGCAATCTATATAAGATCAAGTAAATAACAGTTGTAATTTAAAAGTGTAATAAATTATTAGAAGTAAAAGTGCCAATAACAA